ATGAAAGAGGGGCAGAGGGAAGAGGATGGTCCAGGATTTTCAACACATAATGCCACCTTATAGCACTATCAATGCTGCCTTCAGTTGTTGATGTACATATATCAAACATAACTTTACTCTTTCCAACACTGCCTCCATCACATCATCACAACAATGTTTCTCAATAGACTGTTTACAGCCGCTCTTGTTCTTTGGACTGAGAAGTAGATCGGGGGAGGTGCTCCTTGTTGTGAAAGCTCAGCAGGAGGAACTTTGTGAAAATAGGTAGCGCTTTGTGGAAGCAAGTTTTTTACCCACTAGTGAAGAGCTGCCAAGGGAGATTCAAAGAATTAACAAACATGCATGAAAGAATCAAAGCAACATTCGTTGGTCAGCCTTGTTTCAAAAGTGACACAAAACTGACTACCAAGCATTCACACTGACTACCCAGCACTAAAAATACATCTTACTTTGTGAAAAGAGCTGAGGATAGTTTAAGCTTTGTGCAATTAATTTAGAACAATTCACAGGATAAATAAATGCATTGTGAAAACTGCCTAAAGTTTCATTGTTGTTAAAATCATTATATTACACCTGCAGCTATGGAGAATTTAGTAATGATAAATAGAGTACTATTTATCTGTTCAGCCTTTGTGAAAATAGGTGGCGCTTTGCTTTGTGGCGCAAAGCAAAGCGCCACAAATCCAAAAATGAGCGAATTGTGTTTTGATCCCACACATTGTGGAAAATAATCAGGCTTCTGGCTTAATTTTGTTTTCTTTTTTCTGAAAGAATTCATCATTCATTTCCACTTCCTGGTTTGAAAATATTGTTAAAAAGTTGTGAGTTTATCACCAACAAATCAATTAGGCTGTGTGATACCCGAGTCTTATTAACAGCAGCCTGCGGCAGATTTCCCAGCATGACTTGTGTCAAGGTGCTCCTTCAGTTCCAGGAGTCATCTCACACTTTCTGATGAAATAGCGCTGCAACCGAGGATTATCTTTGTCAAAGCTAATTTATCTGAGTCCTTTCTGATTTTACATTATAAAATAGACAGCAGTAGTGACAGAAGACCATTAAGACCATACCCTAGTCCAGCTGCCCTAGTCACCTGTTCTGCTGGTGACAAAAGTGGTGTCAGACAACTTTAAAGTTTATTTATATGATGAAATGTACAGCAACTCCACACATCAGGAAGAGCAAAAACATAACCTTTCACCAGATTGTTTTTGGCATGTGATGAATTAGCAATTCTGAGCACTTTATACATACCATCCTAGAATGAAATTCAAACACATCCTTACTTATCTCTTTATCTGTGGATGATAAAGAGATAAGTAAATTAACTTTTGGTTTGAAAAAAAAAAGATTTTCTCAAATCCTGCCGATTTAAAATCAGCCGTGATTCTTCAGTCCTGTACTCATTTCCCTCACTTTTCCCGCCTGCACTCCAACCCTCTTCCCTTCATTACTTCTCCATATGTAGATAGCCTCACATTATTACTTCCCTGCCTTATTTTGCTGACACAACGCTAGCCAAATGAAGTGAGATATACGGCGGAGCTTATTGGTGGAGATGGCCAATCCCTTCTGGCCAAAACCATTAACAGAATGGACCTCACTTTGTCTCCTCGTAGTTTTCAAATTGTTGTGTGCTGGGGAGATGGAAACTATTTTTAGAGCTTAATCAGATGTGGAAAAATAAGAGATAAACAATAAATCAACACTTTCAGCTGTCTGGAGGTTTATGCTAAGGTGGTGTGTGAAAAATAATTACTATAACTGGATCCTATATGCAGCTTGTAATGTGCAGCAGTGAAAAAAACATTACATGGCCACAAAAAGCTGATGGGATTGTCAATTAAAATAAGAAGATGAAAATGTAAACAAGGAGTTGATAATAAATGAAAGCGGTTTGTGACATTCCCCAGTGGATGCGTGGGTTCATTTCGGGTGCTTCCTCTCACATTACAGAAACATGACTGTTAGGTTAGTTGGTCTCTCTAAATTACCTCTAGCATGGTTGTCTGTCCTGTGCGTCTCTGTTTTTCTTGTGACCCTGCAAGGAAAAGCAAGTATAGACCACAGACCTATGCATGGATGACTTTATTCTGTCTTTTAAATTAGTCTGGTGGAAAACATATCTCCTAAAGTTTTAAACAGGACAGGTGGACAACCTCTGTTTCGGTTCAAAAAGTTGAACTCTAAGTTTTGTATGAAGTTGGATTTAATCTTATAAAGGTGATTGAAACTGGATGTAATTTTGAATTTGATTGCAGTAAAGTTGTTATGTTATGTTATGTTATGTTTTACCCATAAGTACAGTTCTCTCCAAGTAACCTGGCTTCCTCCCACAGTTTAAAAACATGCATGTTTGGTCTCTCTAAGTAGCCCAGTAAGCCTGTGCATGTATGTTATATGGTAAACCGGTGTTTACCATATAACACCTGTTTATGGTAAACAGGTAAACACCTGTTTACCTGTTTATATGGTAAACCGGTGTTTACCATATAACACCTGTCTCTCCCTGTAATGACATGGAGATAGTTCATCTCTATTTAAATGAAGAGTCATTAAAGCTGCAGTTTCTAAACCTTTTAGAAAATAACTGAAAACTGCTATGTCATAATAGCAAGAGACCAAAAAATGGAGCTCTTCTTCCTTCTCCCTCTATTTCTACTATCATGTGCTGAAATACTTCACTTGTGAGCAGAAACAACAGAAACAGGAAGGTCATAAATCAGCGCTGAGCCTGCCTCGAACGCTCAGGCTGGTCACCATGAATGGTTTTTTATGTTTATTTCTCTGCCATTAGCACGTTGAACAGCAAACTCCAAATCCTGAGTGACAGAAATCTTGAGCAGTGCGTACACTTGTATGATTGCCAGTGCGAAGACCGTCCTCCTGGCTCTGATTGGTTGTTTCTGACCAGAAGCTGTGCATTTCTGCACATGGCAATAGTAGCACTGGGAAGAGACAGAGGAGCTCAATCTTTTCACAGATTATCTGTCTCATGCTATCAGGACATATAGTGCATTTAAATGTAAACTTACTTTTAGCATTTGAGATTAAACAACTGAAGTAAGTAAAAATAAAGTGAACAAAACTTGACAAAAAAGAATCTGAAGCATCTTTTCTAATTGCTTCCATTTCAATAGTATATGCAACATGACTAAATTGAATTGTGCACAAAATAATTTTCTAAAGTAACTCTGGGATATAAAAGCCATTTTAAGGCAAAAACTGGATCACTGTTAATGGAGCAACACCTTTAGAAAGAAAAACCTGAATATTATCTGCCACTGAAAACACCTTCAGAGTATTTGTGCAGGTTGGTGCTACAGTTCGGTCTGAGTGTGTGCGCTCATGCAGGTATGCTGTGATGTGTGTATACGTTTTGGGTGGTGTGTGGAGGTGGGAGGGGTGTGTGGAGGTGGGAGGGGGGTGTGGGGGAGAAAGCCACAGCCAGTGTGGGTCTAGGTGTGGTGTGGCCGGCCCGGCTCATTTCACAGCTGTATAGGGATTAGGTGGTGGAGTGCGGTGGGGTAAGCTGTCTCTTTTATCTCATTCAAACATGTTGCTAATTCAGCAGAGAGCGGCTGCCGCGGGAGCCTGTGCCGCTAAGCGCTGTATCATTCTCCCTGCCGTGAATAAACTGCTAGTCCTAATCCCCAATCAGGCGCCGTGACACGGATTATCACCCGCGACAAGCACAGCGACCCGGCAGAGAGGAGGAGAGAGGAGAGGGACTGTCAGGATGGAGCAGGAAAGGAAAAAAGATAAAGGAAAGGTTAAGGTTAAAACATGGGGGAAAAAATGATTGTGGCGGAGTTGGGAAAGGAAGATGCAATGAGCAAGAGACAAGACAATTTCATATTTAAGAAGTTACCTGAATGCCTCATGAGGAATTACCATGGCTTCAGTTTGTTGTTCTGGTTGTCCTGTCTGCATTCCCACTTCTGTGTGTTTGCGTCCTGTATCTGTAGATTAAATCCGGCCCAGGGGGCTACAAGGCATGCATGTGGGACGATGAGGTTCAAACAAGACCCTAGAGAGAGTGGGGCCAGTTTTTCTTCCAGTGCTCTGCGCCTTTCCTCGAGTGTGTGTGTGTTTACTCCTCAGCTAATTGAGATCTAATTGCTGTAACACGGTGTAAAGCCCCAGCCTGGCCTGTCGCTGGGGAAATATCGCTAACAGCCAGTTTCTCCCGTGTGGGACTGTGGGTAGCAGAGATGTCACAACTACTTAATCTCAAAAGCAGTTATTTAAAAAAAAACAACAAACAATTGTAGCGTCAAATAAAACAGAAAAGTCCTGGTGATCTGCACTGAAACCCTGAAACTCCCCTCTGCTGGCCTGCTTTGTGTTTGCCAACTTTATGTCCTGTGAAATCCATTCAAATCTTCGGTTTGTAGAGTGCAAACTTTTCTATATACCTTTACTGCTTTGTGGCATCCTGATGAGTCTGGTGTTAATAAAGCAAAGCAGCAGATTCCAATCAGGTATTGAAACGAGCCGAGGAAGTGCTTTGGTTTGCCTCCGAGGCGGATGTCGCCTCCAAGGAGACACAATTATCAATGGCATGAAAAAGAGATGAGGTATTGATATAGTTATGAAACCAATGTTTCAAAACATGCCATGTCATCAGCACAGCAAGATGAGATATTAAAAATACATCTTCCTTTCAGTGTGATTATAGAAATACGGCTTAGAGAGAGAGAGGCAGACAGAAGCACCCAAAAGCATTAGATCATCTCCGTTTATGATTTTTTTTCTTTGATACAGTATGTAAAAAAGTTAATAAAAGTGAACTATTGTACCTAATTTAATTGAGGGAGTAATATATGATATATATAAATATATATATATATATATTTTTAATCTAATTTTAATTTTAAAAGCATGTGAAATTTTACACACCTTTTACAATTATTTGTTGATGTATTAAACTTGTTTCTTTAATAAAACAATTTATGAAATTAATGTTACAAACATGAACATAAAATATGTCAGCAAATTATGCAACAGGCATGTAAAATAAGACTTCTAAAACAGAAGAACACTTGAAGTAACAGATTAAAAATACATTTTTACTTTTTCTTTCTTACTTTGGACACTACAGAAAAACGTTCCCATTTATACTTTTTTTTTTGTAAATCACAAAATATTTCAGAACACCTCAGTAAGGAAATCAGCTCTTCTAAAAGGCCCAAAAATACCTAAACTTGTTTCCATAAAAAAGTTTAAGTAATGTGCATGCAATTGCAAAGAACTTTGAAGGAGAGAAGAGACAAAATGCAAGTGTAATATGTGTTGCAAACCTACAAAATGACTTTCTTCTATGCTTTTATAAAATCATCATTCCAGCCCAGTAGAAGTGGCCTAAAAGTAACCTTAGTGAAGCCTCTTTTAGAGGATCAGCCTGCATTTCCTACTTTGTCTACAACTGGGAGGGACTGATGTGTGAGGACATGTCTACCTGTGAATCTTTTGCACCTGTTCAGAAGAGTTAAGAGGATGCATTTCCATGTTAGGTTCTCCAAATTACTCCAGAAATATAATAATATTTAGTCAAAAAGTCAACAGTTTCTTTTCTTTTTTAATAAATTAAAGGAGTATTCATTACTTAACACGTCCAAGTATGTTCAGTTTATGAGTTTGAAAACTAAATATAGTTATAAAGTCGCTAAGCAGATTTTTTTTTTCTATCTCAGATGCTTTATCTCTTTCTGTCCTCCTTAACAAAGCCATTCTGTTCCTGTTTGTGCAGCGCCCTGTCACGGAGCACACTGTAACTGTTCCCCTCCGGTTCACCTCCTTAGAGGCTTCCTTGACAGTTGCTCTCATTTCCATAAAGCGACGATATTCTGCAGAAAGAGACACATGAAAAGGTGAGTCACAGAAAGCAAAAAAATGCAGAGGGAGAGAGATGGAGAGACAAAGGGGAAGAGAAATAGAGGGAGTAAAAGTTGGTGGTCAGCAACACAGTGGGCATCATAAATCAGATTTCCCACAATCCCCTGCGGAGGGGCCCTCCGCTCGGCCTTTTGCGGACACGCTCAGCGGGGCGCGGAGCATCGATTGGCGTCGCCATACCGATGCTGACTGTGCCGGGTTCGGAGGGCGAGAGAGGTGAAGAGGTGAGGCGGTGGAAGAGGTGTGTGCTAGATCCATGAGTGTGTGTGTGGGGGGGGGGGGAGCTGGGTGTGAAGAAATCTGCCTCAGCATCAAACTAAAACAGCAAACCAAACTCAGAAAAACATAGGTGTGTGTTTGCGGCCAGAATGTGCAGACTCCGGGGTAATTTCCTCCCCTATCAGCACACTCTCACTCACTTCACACTTGCCCTCTTCTCTTTCTTCTTCTTCTTCTTCTTCTTCCCCGCTCATCACAATCTTCTGCCCACTCACCCCGGGGCAATCAAGGCTGCTGAGAGGCCAAGATCCAACGCACACAACCAGAGGGCAGGAAGGAAAGACAAACTGACATCATCCAACATGTCAGCTTTATCTGTTGGTATGTTTGAATAACAAACTGGTTTTGCTTGAACAGAAATCAGCACCCATCTATTGTCCTTCCCCGCTTATCCTTACACAGTCTGGATGAGAGGAAGGTGTGTTTTTCTTGCCTTCATTGGATCTGAGGTTGGGAACTGTCCATGACAGGGCAAGAAGGAGAGACAGAAAACAAACAATCATGTAAGAGCTCACGCTTACATGCTCAATCATAGGCAATTTTAGACAGACCAATTATCCCAACCCTCATATTTTGAGCTGTGTATAAAAGCACAGGATCAACCACACAAAACATATGCAAATAGAAAGAACACATTTTTGTTTTGACCCTCAGATCCAGACTTATAACTTATCGTGATGCGTAACAGTGGCAGTAAGTTGTTTAAAACTGGAACACAAGTGCTGTCTTTGGATATGTCCAGTTACATAATATACAAATAATAACATATTGTTAAATATATATAACTTAGCATTTTCAAGTCTCCGTGATGGGATTTTGATTGTTTTATTAATGTTTCATTTCGATGAGGCTGTATTTTATTAATTCTCCAATCTAAAGTACAAATTTTTTCAGCATTTTAAACAATTCATGCTATTTTGAAAGGACTTGGCATGTAAAGCAAATTTTTTAAGGGTTAATTTTTTTTTTCAAGTTTCATAAAATTGTTTTAGTTATGAAGTTTGAGGCCATGGTTGTCAAATAGAAAATATGCACAACTCTTACTATATTTGTCTGAAAATCAACTGTGTTGCAGTTTAGACTTGGTAAAAGTTTGTGTTGTTCGTGGGACATTACCCTCATTTGTGAGACAAAGAACAAAAGAAAGCTGGTTAAAAAAGTTTTTACTCACAAAATGAGAATGATCTATCTAAGATCTTAATATTCATAATTTGACATTTCTTTGGCACTGTGGCTTCCTCCAATGTTGCAAAGACCCCATGCACCCAGAAACCGCTTGAATGAACCTCTGAGATCTTTTCTGCACATCCTTTCCTTGTGTTTCTTTTCCAGGTAACGTGGATTCCTCTCATAGTTCAAAAGCATTACTGTTTAATTAATGTGGTTTAATTAACTGTTTGATTAATTAATTAATCTCTGTGCTTGCTTGTTTGTCCTGTGTCCACTTTTTCTACACTTTGACAAACCGAAACTTTTTTTGCCATATTTTTTAATTTTTTTTACTCTTTCCATCGACCCCACTCAGAATACAGTAAACAAAATCCTCTGGAAAATGGGCTGGTGTTTTCTGTTTCTCTCCATAGCTTGTATCTGTCCTTTTCTCTCTCTTTTCTCTCCCTCTCTTTTATAAATTTCATTAACAGAGAAATCCCATTAGCTACTACTCTGGCCCTGCCTCTCAGGGTTAACAACTTTGCTTAGCCATGTAAATTCAGAGCTTAGTCAGGCCGATTCTCCACAGCCGGCGCAGGATGCACGGCATCCTCGCCACATTAAGCGCTATCTTTGGATACGTCCATGTGTGTAAAAACCTGTTTGCATGCATGCGTGTGCACCGAGCGAAGGCTGTGAGGTCTGCGTAAACCTCTTCCAGCAGATTATCTGGATCCTGAGTGTATGTGTGTATCTCCATATCACATACATACTGCACATATTCTCAGGGAGAGGTGTATGAGGTTGAAGGGGTAGGACACTTATCTCTTGTGGGCAGGACCCAGGTGTCTTCCAGTGGACCCCCGCTCAGCCGGCCTCCTCCTGACTCGTCCTCCATCCTCTGCTTTCCTTCTCTGAGGCTTTAACACACAAAACCAAGAAGATTTACTCCATGTTGGCACCAGCATCAGCTCGCTGGCTCCCAAACCAAGTGAAGAAGCTTAAGGTAATATTTCACTCCAGAGCAGAAGTGTATATTCCCGGTTATAATACAGGTATGTGGAGGCCCCGTCAAAAGTGTTTCAACATCTTAGATGTAATTCCAGTCTATAAATTTGGGATATAAACTAACAAATATATTTGACATGAAGCAACTTTAGGGGGAGTTTTGCAAGTTTTACTTCCATTTGGCTTGTCTTACCCTTCTGAAGTCTGAAAAAAAAAGACATGAGTGATTAAATCCCATCTCTCCCTGCAGAAATTTGTATTTTTATTATTTTTTTAAGAATATCTGCTGTCTGTAAACCATAAAAACCTGCAGAGTAAGGCTGATGGGAATCTTCAAGTATGCAGTTTCTGATGAGAGCGCAGAAAAAAGTTAATTAAATTGATTAGATTTGCTAATACTTCTGTTTTTTTTTTTATTATTTAAAAAAAAAACAATGCCTGGAAAATTATTGGAAATATTTGATTAATCCTTAGGACACATTTCAAGTTTCCCAAAACACCCACCTTCATTTATTTAAGAAATTAGATTTGAATACTAAAGATACTTTGTGAATATTTAGCCATTAATATGTAGGTAGGAGAGATAAACATGTTTTTGTACAGAATATGTTCACACAACCTAGATTTTAGTCAGAATATCTTGATGAGATGCTGTCTGAAGCTGGTATTAGAAAGTCTTTATCTACTTGATTCAGTTTTAGTGGCACAATAAAGTCTCAATAATTAAAATTTAATTATAACTGTGATAACAGGTATGGTGTGACAACAACTGTGACAAGAGAAAGCTGAAGAAAATTATACATTTTTTTTCTTTTTACAAAATCTTGCAATGTTTCCTGAAGTTTCAAGCTGCACTTATAGCTACTTATGCATGAAACAAAAAAACGTTTGCTGAAACACAACTCTGAGGCTGACTTCCAGAGTGGGGACAGAGAGTTTTCATCTGTGACTCCACGTTGACCCTGTTCTCTGCTCGCTCTCAGGTATTTTCCGCTCTATTTTTAGAGCCAGGCTGTCCGATGCTTTCCTGATTGATTGCGATCTTGATCAATGGCTGGCAACGACTGGACTCCTGTCCCAATACTGGATCTATAGCGTGTCCCTTCCTCCAGCAGCCTGGACTGCTTCCTTCCTTTGTCTGGGACCCAGGGAGGTTTTATCAATGAAGTTCAGCTACAACTTCTCTGTCTTCAGTCACTTCCTGACCCAGTCAATGTCCTGTCTGTGTCCCGGTGCTCAGACACACATTTAGCATGAAAATGGAGTGTTAGAAAGTAACTGCTCTCGAAACTTTAAAGCGTGTTTTAATTATAACTAATGTCACTTGATATAAGTTTTACTTAGGAATTTATTTCAGGCTTTCAATAGAAGAATAAACATTTGTGTGTTGAACTAATGCTGCTCTCCATTTACTTGAGATACCAGAACTTTGACCTTGGATTGATATCCAACCCAGCCTAACTCTTTTAAGTTTCAAGTTGGAAAATCAAAATTGTTTGTTAATTGTTGTGAATAGAAACTATGTCAACTAATATAAAGAATATATTTCTCTGTAAATACATTATTGTGAACACTGCTACATTTTTATGACATTGTTGAGGAATTTAGATTGTTGTTCTGAAATAAAACCTAAAAACAGAAATCACTTGGCGTTAAAAATAAAATGCAGGATGATGCCCTGCCGTCGATAAAACGCATGTTTTACAAAACATGATTTGTGAAAGACAAATTTCTGAAAAAGAAATACAGAAATGTAGGAGCTGATTGAGTATGTTTTCTGGGCCAGGAAAACATGCAAACGCCCTTATACAATCTCATCTTATTCATCACATGTTAAGAAAAATGATCTTATTTAGCAAATAAAATGTAAAAAAAATCAAGAGAACACATTATTTCACCCACAGTTGCTCTTCGAAAGAGGCAGAAGGGGTTGTTTATTCACACACTCCTAAAGCACTTTGGACATCCCTGGAAGGAGGAAGGAGTCTAAATTCCATCCTGTCAGATGTGCAGCTCTCCTCTTTAGGATCAGTCCTGGATGAGCGCTGGCTGCAGGGACCCAAAGCTGAGAGATTCAGGCCAAGCAACGGCCAGGCGAGCGCCGCTGTCAGTCAGTCGGATAGGACAAACAGCTTCCAGAGGATCAAGAAGAAACTCCTCGGAGCTTAGACGACACAAAGACCGAAGGGGAAAGAAAAGGACATGAAGTTAGTGTGAAGTCCAGAATCAGGACTCAGCCTTCAGAGCTGAGGAGAAAGAACAAAAGAAGTTGTTTGGATAAAAATTATTGCTTTCTGCTCAGTGTTTCAGTATTCTTTGTACCAATGCAAAGCAGATAAGAGTATGTGGTAACAAGCAGTGATCAAATATTAATAGTGCACTTCTAGGTGCAATTTACTTTCGTGGTTGTTATTTGGATTTAAAGAGGCATTTACATCTCACTTTGTTTTTGTTAAACAGTATTCAATGCCATGTTGAATCTTCTGATCAGATGTTTACCTCCAACAAATATTCAGATGTGACAAAAACTGCACTTGTGAAAGTAAAACTAATGGACTTCTCTGTTCCAATCAGAAAACAACTCTGACTGCTACACTGCAGGGACAGGACACATTAAAACATACATACAGAAATAAAACAATGTTGTGAAAACCAACTATGCACTTTCAGCTAGATTTAGGCTTATTGTCCTGTTTGAAGGACAGAGTTTTCCAAACCTCAGCTTCCTCGCAAATTTTAAGTTTTTTTTTTTTTTTTTTTAAGATTTTGTGATACTTCATATAATCCATCTTTCCGAGTGTGCTCGATTGTTGTTATGTGTGAATATGTTACTAAAATATGTTTTGCAATATTGTTCCTTATACAACTTTAACAACAAATACAAAGTGGAAACCCCACCAGCTTAACATCTGACATCATTCTGAGTAAAGTGAGGGTACACAGGAAAAATGAGAAAGTGAGGAAGAGGAGGAGGGGTGAAGAGACAGAGTTTAATTTTTCAAAAGGTCTGTCAAGGACACAAAGGTTGGTTCAGATCCACACACTTCAAAATTATCTGGGGACTAAAGAAAGGTTAATGTGAGCATGTCTTGTTTTTTCTGAGTAATTTTTGGTAAAAGTCCTTAGAAATATTAGATTTGTTTTTAAATAAATGAAGGGATGATAGTAGTATGTTTATTTATTCAGTTTTATCCACTCAGGAAGGCATTTGAAGTGACAAACACACACACGTGCACACACACACACATCCTCACTGTGCCATTCCTCCCCAGGTAGCTGTTAGCAGTGTTTCACATGTGTGGAGGAGCTCCCAGCAGAGAAGATTCAAGGGTCTGCCACTTACATCAGGGATCACCATGGTGAAAAATTTATATCACTGACTGCCTACATCCCCTTCTCCCCCACATGTGTGTGTGTGGGGGATAAAACAGAGGAGGACACTTTAGTTCTTACATGCTGTAGCAGAGAGCTACATGTGTTCCTGCATATGTACAGTAACATAACAACTGTCATGGAAAACTCATGCAAATGACCAATCAGATGCAGTAATCAGAGAAGTTTCACCACCTAAAACCGCTCAGGTTTTCCTTAGTGCTTAAGATCCATCCACTCACTTATCTGCCTCGACAGGTGTAGGAAAATAAACTACACCCTCTCATTTCAGAGCTCTGAAATATCAGGATATAATAAAACTGATATTGCCTGTACCAGGTTCTAAAATAATGTAAATTCTGTCTTCACTGTACAAAAACCCACAACAAATTTGACACGGCCCTTATTTATTAAAATGTAGCGAAGGTAAAATGGGAAAGGTATGTTTGGAAAAAATAGCTGTGCACTTTAAATCGATTTAAAGTTAGACAATGCTAGCTAATTAACATTTTTCAAGTCAATATGAAGATATTTTGTTAAATGTTCCACTGCATATTTGCATTCAATCTTGTCTTCCTCTTTTGTAGAAACTATATATATTGTATTCCAAGAGAAAAAAAAAATATTAAATTTTTTAAATTTTTAAATATTTAGATTCAAAATGTTTTTATTGAGTCTTTGGTGACTTCAGGACATCGTTGGTTTAGTCTCCATATTTTTCAGTCGTAGTAGTAAAATATTTTTGATCTGAGGTAAAATTTAACACTCAATAAATTGAAGAGGCCTACTGTATCACCCTCAACACTTAATATTAATAGAAATAAACACTATGTATAATGACGCTATACCTCTTTCACTTTTTATACTGAACTACAAATATATTGATCTCTTTATTATTAAAACTTTATTTGGCTTACTAAAAAATTTACTATTCATCCATTATTGTCCATTTGACAAAATCTATCATTTTATTCATTTATTTTGTTATTTTGGGTGTTTTTCTCTCCCTCTTTGTACTGCTTAATAACTACCATTCGAATTAATTTACCAATCCATATGATTTATTAGTAATAATTCTATCAGCACATCCCTATTTGCACTTCAGGACCGAGTGCACATTTCAACTTCCCTCAAGTTTCCTCAACCACTGAAATTTCCTTGCGAACTTTCTTGTGTTATCTGAAACTGTGGAAGAATATTTAATGAAAGTTGTTTTAAGGAGACCATGTGAGCCCAACATTTTCTCACATGCAGCCCCGTCAAAGTAGATTAGGATTAGACGAAAGGAAACAGGATGTCACTCTGTGTTAATCTCTCATAAACTCAGTTTAGGTCTAGTGCAGCTGACAGCTGAGGTCCATTTGGTCTGAGAGATGGCTGGTCGCTGCTGCCATTACCAGCGTCCCGTCACACACACATTCATTTGGTGAGGCCTGGAGGAAATGTGGGAGAAAGGCGGCAGCCACCTGAGAGAGCTGATCCGCACAAGTGCCTCGGTCAGCAGCTTCCTCTGGGCTTTTTAGCCACTTTCCTCCTCTAATTCAGCTCCTTTTCACAGGTTCTCCTCAAGTCACGTTTCGGGTTGGCTTGACGTTCGCAAGTTCTGCAGCGGAACATTCCCAATGTGTTTCTCCAGGTGTGAGGAGAGCTGCCCCTTAAATCTACCTCACTTATTCATCCATCCTTTTTTTTTCACCTCCTTCACTACTTCTTGATGCTCTACCTCCATCTCTGATCCATCAGTACCTAAAGCGCCCAATGACAAAAAGGTCCCGGCTGATGGACAGGTGGCTCATCAGGAGGGACGTGTTCAGCCTATTGAAATCTACTTATTATCAATTATTCACGGACACACCGCGTTCTCCCTCTGATTCCTCCCAGAGAGCGACTGGTGGAGGCAGAAAGTGAATCGCCCGGCCAACAAACAAAACCAAAAACACAACTGGAATCGAGGACACATGTTTGAACTAAGCAGACCCTGCTTGCCAAAAAATGCTTTTAGAAAAGTCAAAGACCAAATCACAGACCTGAACAGGAAAAGAGTGTCGTTTTCATCAGTAAATCACCAGAGCTCTGGCACTAAAGAGGTCTATTATAAAAAGACATGCTTAAAATAATGTATCCAGTTAGGTTCATACTTTCTGAAATACAATTAAATATTATAAAGGTTTAGTCAAAATAACAATAGGCTTTTAATTCAAACACATCACTTGGAGTTAAATGAATAAATTAAATTTATAAGTTGTTAGTTATCCAGTTTTGTTGTGGCTCTGTTTTCATAAAATTTCATTAACTTTCATAATAATAAAAAAATTCTAAATCTTTTTGTGCGACTCTGGACAAATTTTATTTAGCAGGACTAAGAGCAACGATGGTCTTTTGATTGAAAAGGTTGCAAGTTATGTCTATTCAATTAAAGGGTTTTCGATTATGGTGTGAAAAAATTTGGTCAAACTCAAAGATTAAAATAGTTTTCAAGGCACTTTTACTTCTGATAGAAACAAAAAATCAGCTTGTATTTTGCTAAATGTAAAATTAAATCTTAAATAAACAAAAGCAGCTGCAGGAATTGAAGTTGTTCTCAATTTAGATATCAAGTCAGCCTCACTTTTAGGAGACAGATGCACCAAATCTATCTTCCTCCTCGTTGCAGCCGGAGCTGTGAAAGGATTTCCAGCTGTGTGTAAAGTGGCGGTCGCCCTCTGTTTCCTCTGACTCTCCTATTGAACATTTCTTGTTTTTCAAGGTGAGGCAAACCTTTTTCTACTCCTCCTCTTCTATTTCGAACTTCTTAGCTTCCCATTAACCCTTCCAAACCGGATCCCGGTCCGCCCAAATCCAGGCTCAGGAGGAGACCGGCCAGAATGAATAACAGGGGCCGAGAAGGGTCAGCTGAAAGGCATGATGGGACTTATCATGGAGCACATATGGGAATTGTGGGGGATTTGAGCGGGAGCGTGGCGGACACAGGAATGGATCAGCTTGTGACATCATTAACCGTCCGCTTGGATTTCTGGGATTTCCGTAAGCCAGGCGGTGAAGGGTTGGGTGAGTCGATTTGTTCTGTTGGGGGGGAATATGAGCGATTGAGGGACCCAAAGTGGGCGATTGGTCCAGAAGCTGATATTGTGGTTTAATTTAAATTTTTCTTTTTTTTCTTCTTTTTTTAGAAATAAGACCTGAGAAATTCAGTGAGAAACTCTTCCTGCTCACATTTCCTCTGATTTCCACAGATGAAATAAGATGCATTAATACACACGCACGCCCACACGCACACACGCATGTACACGCACACACACACACACACAAATCTCTGTCTGTTCTGCTTCCTGAGTGGGTGAGCTCTGGAGGCTGAGTTTGGGAGCATCAGGAGACGGGTTTGTCTCCGTCAGCAGCTCTGGTTGCTTGATGGTCGGACTTTGTCGAGGTGTTGTTTTTCCTCCCTTCGTTAGGCTCGGCGTTAATTACTAATCTCACGGTCCAGCGCAGGACACTTGTGCTAACGTTGACTCTCTCACACTAATGAGGGAGAACGCAGACAAACAGAGCGGGATTTATGGCACAACACATGAGCATTATTTCATTGTCTCACACACATCAAGAGACACAAAAAACAATCAGCAAAACTGGAGACAGGAGATTCCAGAGTGTTTGGTTTGTACGCACACATCAACGGAAGGTTGGTCGGGAAAAGCGAGGCTGATTTAAGTCAGTTAATTCAGCTCACAACTTCTTTTGTGGAGGAATACCTTCATAAGTAAATGCATATGAGAATGGATTCAAACATTGGCTTATGAAAAATATGCAGTCCACAAATGTGCCATCTGTACATACAAGCACACACAAGTAAAGCAGCAGCATGCTAAAGTGCCAAACCAGCAGAATGTCCACCTCACACCAGATGCAGCATTGTGACCCCGTAACCTCTTCACACACAGATAGAAGAGGAAAAAATGTTTGCATTTCTGTGGCGCTTATAGGACCATCTTTATGCAGAACTCACTTCACTATTAATGTTAACTCCAACCAAATTTACAAACTTTTTAATCTTATTTCTTTATGAAGATATCTTCAATTACTGCCTTTCAGCATTTACATGCTGATGTAAATGCTTTATTTGTAGTCTGAGGTTTTTAAATGTATTCTTAATTTGGATGTGTTCCTCATAGTTATGTTTTAAAGAGGAACAAATAGGGCTTAAGCAAGGCCTTGAATTTAAAAAGTGCTTAGAGCCTTTCTCCCATTATGCTTTTCTATGAAAACCTAGAGCTCTTTGGGCAAATCTTATCATTCTTGTAAACTCAGGAGACTGATCTGGAGAGAAAGAAATGAAGGATGATTCTCACATGTTTTTGTTCTGGCATGACCCTTCAAATTGTGCTTTGCTTCAAACTGTCTGTGACACTAGACAGAGACTAACTGGGGCCCAATGACCAAGCCATATCAGTACAGACACCTCTGAATAAAAATGATTCTACCACATATTATACAGGTCTTCAGAAACACGTTCAATCCAGTCTGACAGAACTGGAGCTAGATATTTGTATGTCAAAAACTCCCAGCTGTACAAAATCCTCCCCAAGGCTTTTAGTTGATGAAAGTTAACCCCCCCATGCAGAAATGAACTATTTTGTGTTGGCCTTTCATATAAAAACACAAATCATTGAAGATTGGTGTTTTTAGTTTATAGATTTAGTGTTGTAATATGACAAAAAAATGGAAAAGAAAATAATTTCATGAATACTTTAATTTTTTCTGTCTCAGTGTATTTAACATCTACTGGCGATTCTCTCCCATTGTCCTCCAAACATTATTCGTTTACTGATAGATTCCCAGGATCTCGTACTGGTCCTCACAAAGATAATAATAATAGTAAAAAAAAAAAAGAAAACATTTTCTCAACAAGATTGTTACCTCACCCGCCCCTCTGAGGGACAAAACAATGAATGACCCCAATGATGACCGTATCAGTGCTGCTGGGGCAGGTGGCATTCTCTGGGGTGCAACATGACCGTGGATGTGTGTGTGCTTGTGTGTGTGCTTGTGTGTGTGAAGGGGATCAGTGCATATGGAAGAGCTGAATGAGGCACCTCTGGGCCCAGGTGATGCCATCGGTCGCTGCACACGTGTAAGTTTACTCTCGCGTGTGTCTTCCACACTTTACCCTCTGGTTTCCAAGCACCAGGTGACGGGTGTATATCGACGGGCTGTGTGTGTGTTTTTCTTTTTCCTTTTTTTTTTTTTTTTGCTGAGATGTGAGCGGCCGTATGTGTGTGTGTTGAGGCAGACGCAGCATTTTAAAGCTCGTACTTCAGCACAAAGGGAGCTGTGCTAGCTAACCATCAGCGCTTTACCGCCAGCGTCCAGCTCTGAGGGGAGGTGTCGAAACTCCTACACTCCCACCACCCAGCCGCCCCCAGCCCCCTGTGGCCCCAGTCGGGTGATGAAGGAGAAACCATCAATAAGACAAGAGGCCACGCAGAGGTTCAAACCAACATGCCTCAGGCCAAGGCCTCCTCTTCTCTGTTCTTCTTCTGTGGTCTTCACTGTTGGCGTTTCAGCTGCTCAAAGAGCCTTTTTATCATGCACGTCACCGATTCCACCCTCTTCAGCACTTTGCGCGTTTGATTACACCTGTTTATGTGCTGCTGTTGTTGTTTGCTCAGCCACTCTGTGTGCGAGTGTGTTGGTGTGTGTGTGTGTGTGTGCTTTCTCCTAAACCAACCTGCTGACAGAAGGTCTGTCCAGTTTACACATCCAGCTCTGAGGGCATTTCTGAACTTGAAACGATGTCTTCAAAGTTTACACTGACAAAAGCAGCTGCATGTACACATTGCCTCGGTGTGTGTTTTAGCTGCCGGCTGGACTTCAGATGCACATCAGGGTTAAATCTGGATGCCTGCACACACACATTAAAGTCAGTGAGTGAAGTTTTGCACCAGTTAGGCTAGGCTTTTCATCCTAACTGATGTAAAGTGAAAGTGCAAAAACAGAAATCTGAGATTTGATGCTGCTTCAGCATGCCATATATCTGTTTAATCTGATTAGGTATCAGGGTTTTAGGTGCAACTGCACACCTGTGACGCTGCTCAAATATCTACATCAACTCACAAACTCCTCTATTTCCCCAAATGTATTAAACTATACTTTTTGAAATTAGAATATGAATTTTTCAAAGATCTGGTATCTGGTAAATGTATTCAGTCTGATTGAAAGCTCCAGCTTTCTTTCACTGAAAAACAACAGTATTCTAAAGGCACACTGCACACCTGAAGAAATAGTTGAAAAAAGTACAAGAGTAATGAAAGTCTTCTATTTTGGCCAAAAGCACATCGATGAAAGGTGTAAGGCTTCCTGAATGATGAGGACACACACATACACACCCCCCTGGTGTTGGAGTGACCTGTGGAAACACAAGTTGCTGAGTGTCCTGTCCAGTGTGTTCTCATGCAGGCCTGTGTGTCCTCTGACCTCAGATGATGCCCATGATTAGCTTTTATAAAGCTCTAATGAATGCTTATGCAGCTTCTTACCAACTCTGATTAATATTGATGAGATGCTGGAATCGCTGACTCGCACCTTTCCAGAAAGACTTGATTATGACCCTCACATGTTAACACACGAATCCGTGTGAAGAGGGACAAGAGGGACACAGGTGGCATCAAAATATAGCATCACACAAAAGATGGAAATTTTTATTGCGGCAAAAGAAAAAATATTTGCATTACAAATGCAAAAAAAGGTATTTGACAAATATAAGTTTTTAATTCAACCCCAGTTATTTGTAGCTCATCTTTAATATTAAAGATGCAGTACTACGTCCCAGAATCAACTTAAAGTTTTAGCCTAAAATAAATTTGGGCTTTCAGAAATTATTCTCAGTTGGTTGTGTTTTAACATTATTGAATTCAAAGCTAACAACACAATTTCATTTCGGAGGGTAATAAAAAGTGTTAATATAGGTAATATAGGGGTCAAAGTAAAAAAAAACATGACATAAAGACGTCATGTTTTAAAAACATGATGTCTTTAAGACGTCATGTTTTAAAGACATTGCCTTTTAGCCAAGAACCAAGAACGGACCCATTTTAAAAATTACGTTTTATAGACAAAGAATGTACTAACACAAAAATCCCAAATCTGTATCAAGAAAAGTTTGATGCAACTATTTTTGATACAAACAAGTATCACATATAATATCATTAAAGTTATGTGTGTGTGTGAGTGGGTGTGTGGGTGTGTGGGTGGGGTGGGGGGTGTAAATGGCCCAATGCATTTAGCAATCTAATACATGCATCAAGTTGTTTTATTTACACTGCACTTAATAAATATTATTGCACCAGCACTGCTTCATTCAAATAACAAATATCAGAGCGCATGATCGTGCAGTTTTAGCAGAGAATTACATAAAAGATGACTGGCACATTTCTTTTTATTGGCCTAATGTAATATAATGTATGTCTAATGTATAAAGGCTTGAAAACATAAAGTGTATTTATATAATTGTTTTACTTACAGAGTTTATTGAACAATGAATTTTTCAATCATATTTTCATTCATTGTATAAGTGTGAAATTGCTGATGTTCATGAAGTAACAGGATTTAAATAAAATTTGTGTGTTAGGGGCGTTTCTCTTCCTGGCTGGAGTGAGAACTATCTCCTTGGAAACCCATCACCTTCCCACCTCAATATGAAGCTGACCTCCTGCTGGGTGAAATGACACCACCTTCACCTCACATCTCATCAATTTACACACACACACACGCGCGCACACACATGGAGCTGCATGTTTCATTAATATGTAATCTGAACTGTTTCTATAACATATCGCACCAGATTAAAAGCATCACAAAGGTTCTGGTGGATGAGGAAACCATCAATACAAAAGTGACACACCCACTCTGGGACACACATATACACATTTTCCATGCACCAATTTTAAAAAATCAAAAAGTAAATATGTACAGTGCATTATAATCAGAAGGGAATCATTGATTGAAATCAGGATCAATGCTTCTCATTGCAAAATATGAATGCATCAGCGTTCATATTTTATAATAACACAAACAAATCTATTCTGCATGAAGTCAAAATCTCTGATTGATTAAAATTATACTCCTTTAAGTTCTAAATTGGGTTAGGCTGAGTAATTATGAGCAGTCAGTGTCTTCCTTGCATTAAGCTAAGTGATACCGCTGACTCATCAACGTCCAAAAGAAAAAGCAGGTACTGAGTCTCTCAACCCAACATCTCTTTTTCTATATATATTTATATATATTAGCTGTCCGATTACACGAGACTGCACTTACTGCTCACATAAAACATAAAGATTTTATATGAATTAAACCTCGAAAGTTCCAGATGAGGCTCATGTGACAACAACTCCTGTATTCTCCATAAATCTGGATTCAGATTTATGGATAACTACAACACAACAAGTCCAGCTTTCACTGTCAGTTCTCTGAGTCGTCCTCACCTGTGGGGTGAGAATGTCTGTGGGGTCCTCCGAAGAGCGTCGGCTGCATTATTTATTTATATGTCTTCTTCTAACAGGTTTTGTTTGTCCTTACTTGAATTGTACGATTAATATGCTACATTAAAGGCTGAAGGCATATTCAAAAATGATTTATTGTTATTGACTTGTTATATGCATTGCAGTTATCTGGTATTTTAATAGGAAACTGAGAAACTGAACTTGTCCTTCCAGAAATACAAGAGAAAATGTCTGGTCTTTCTTCATTCTTAGTTTTTTTGTTTATTCAAGGTTATTAAAATCAACTCACTCCATTATGAATCTAATGGTTGATATTTTTAAAGTCTGCTCTCTGACTTAATACACCTTGAGTTAATTGGTTGAGATTGTTTTTGAAAAGTGCCACAGAGCCTTGACCATCAAACCCTTCTGTCATTTAGAAAACCATAGAGCTAGAAGGGCATGCCAACTGTTCATTAACTATGTTAAACAAATTGGTGTCTGTAATTAGTCTATAAATTATTATATAGATTGTTTATAGGAAGAAATGCTAAATATTTTTCATACCTTGGGATATGTCTTTCCTTATTTCTCAACAAAAATTTTCAAAAAGAGGATTACTATTATTTTCCTTTTGTCATTTTTGTTGAGTCATGCTTTGTGAAAGTTTGATGCTGACATGTTTGTGATGTAACTGCACCAATTTGGTGTAACAGATTTTTTTTTTAAAATAATCATTTTCCATCTTTCAGTGTGAAGTTTCATTTTTCCTCCACTACTTAGAAGCTTTCAATAGATTTGAAATTATGAAAAGATTAGATGTTTTGTTTAAATTATTGCTTCTATAGACAGTTTAGCTGAAACCGTGAAAAAAAAAAAGAGGCTGAGGACTGGGCACGCTTACATATCAGGAACACTAATTTGGCCCAGAACCAAGATTTATCATCACAGTTTGGAGACAAAAGCTTTGAAACATTGTGAGTCTGCAGATGCTTGAAGCTGACTCAGTTAAACTAAATGTGAAGGGTCAGTGCTGGAAAGGAACTACCATTTTTCTGTTTGAGCAAAATTACTTAATAACTTCCCCTTCTGGCTCAATCCAAGAAGTGAAAGCGAGAAAGTACAAGGAAATTTAAATAATTTTATCTCATTTCCAAATATTTTCTGCTGTGTAACATGTATTTGAGACCCCCATCTCCACCCAGTGTTACGGTCCTGCCTCAGCAAAGCTTTTCTTTTTTCAGCTCTGACGGTGCAAATCTGTTAATAACATCCCACAAATAAGCGGAAATTTGACATATAACAGAACTTTGCGTTTCGCTGAAAGGGACCAGAAGCACAACACACAGTTTGTCCTTAAATCTTAATAAAAGTCATGCAATTTTAATCAACATAAACAGGCCTGACCGAGCAGACTGCAGAGAATGATTTATTCATGGAGGCCTACCTGACCCACACCTGCAGGTGGAGGAAGGAGGACTGCCAACATGTGTCCAGCTGCTGCTCACACTGATGCCGTGTGAACTGAGCCTTGCTGCTGATCTGAACCAAGCAGGACAGGAGGTTGTGGTGTCGATGTGAATATATAGGTGATGTAGTAAGGGAGAAAGAGAAGCAGACGCCCCTCCACAGTTAATAAAACTCCTGGTAACAATGTGCAAAAAGCTTTAAAATAACTGAATTTTCTTCTGGAGTTGCCAAACCGGATACAAAATTGTCTGCCATTGATACTTTGTACAAACATGTTGCCAATAGGGCAACATGTAGTTCTGAATTAGTTAATCCTGATTTATCCAAGTCTTATTGATCTGTGGTTCCTAAAGTTGTCATTACGGATGGAGAAATGTGTGTAAATAAAAATCATCACAGTAAAATATATTTCATCAATAAATATTTAAAGAGAAAAGAAAAAGCACTTAAATATTTATTAGAACATTCTAACCAGAATCCGTTGGTTAGATTCTTCTTGCTGTCATTACAGTTCTGTTTAAGTGACTTTGTGTTATTGCTGTTTTAGGCAACTGGTCATAAATTTCTGCCACTATTTCTTTTTTTTAAGTTTAGGAACTAGTGATCTGTGGTAAAAAAAAAAAAAACAAATGACTTTACATTCGTCAGCTCTTTGTATATCTCATTATGTCTAAGCTCCCTATTATTTTAAAATTATTGAAAAAGTAGAAAAATAGCTTTCAGAAACTCTATTTGACATTAATGTCTAGAAGAAGTTTTGATGCTTTTGGTGGTATGAAGCTACTAAAGAGGCCGCTGTCCTCACAGTCTTCAATATTTGCTAAGGGATGCGGGACGATTTGTAGGGCAACTCCAGTCCTGGAGGGTTGGAACTAAGTGATAATTTTTCTCAACGTTAGGGATCCTCAGCTGTGTGGTTATCATCGTTCTAAAGCAACGTTTGAGTGAACTTTTT